CCGCGTGTAGGGGGCGTGAAAGCTAAACCGTCACCGCCCGGCCACGGCGGCCGGGGGGGGGGTGTTGGGGGGGGTGTGAAGGTCCACCCAGCTCCAAGTTGCCAAGGATGAGAAACACTGCTCTAGGATCTCAAGGCAGCAATATAGTACTCTTTCCTTCAATTCCCCCCACCAACACCCTGTTAGGTAAGCCTTCTCGAAAGTGACTGTGTAACTAAGCTTCCATAGCTGAGGGTGGACTCGAACAAGGATCCTCCTGCTCCTGATCAATACCTTATATCCCAACAGTCCAGGGCCATGAATGACTCTAGCCAGACCACTGGGAATCAGTGGGGGAGAAGGAAAGGAAGAGAGGAATACGCAATTTTCCACCCATGTCCCCTGAAGCTACCCAGTTAGCTACTTTGCTGAGCCTCATGTGGATCCTCAGGGTCCTCATCTGCCCCATCCGGGTCTTGGTGGCCCAGGTGTCCTCTCCAGCTCCTACCTTGTTGACAGCACAACTGGTCTTGCTCCGCAAGGAACCGCTGCTGGTCTTAACGATACGAGAAAAGTCGTCCCTGGCAGCCAGCAGGTGGGCAAGGGAGATCTGGGAATCTTCCGGCAAAGATTGCCGTAAGGGTTGGAAGGCTTCTGACATGGCTGCGCTCCGGTCCTAGCCGGGACAAGAGAGGTCAGAAACAACGAGGTGGCTGAGCGCCAAAGACGGCGGCGTTCCCTCTTCCCCACCTGCGAACTAACTTTAGGAAGTGAAGTGAGTCACAGTGACTCGACTCTCACCTTTGCCCTCTCAGACCAATGGAAGGACGCAACGGTGACATCGAAACGGGTGAGCATCACATGTTTCCGACACTGGTATTCCGCCCGCAGCACTTCGTGAATATCCTCCAGCGCTTTCTGGTATTTGAACGAGAGCCAAGGGGGAAGCGGAAGGAGACAGAGCAGTTTAAGATCCATCAGCACCAGAGCCAGCCTCGAAAAGCCCACCCACCTTCTTCTCTAAGGCAAATTCAAGCGGCCTCCTACCCATTGCTCAGATGTCAGGGGGGCCTTCAGGAGCGGTGCCATCCGCTGGTGCTCAGGGGGATGTGCGGAGAGCACCTCTGAAATCTGAAGAAAGCACACATTTAGCAGTTTGGGGAGGAGAAAGACGCAGACAATTGGCAGGCTGAGGGGAGCCAAAGCAGCACAAAAGGGGAAACCACATGCAGAGAAAGAGAGCCACGATGCTCCTTCCCTTTGAGGTGAGCCTCATCTTTTCCAGAAAAATCTAAGCTTGGCACAGCTTCCCCCGCCTGGGATTCTCTGATGTAATGTTCTCAACCGTGGCAGCTTGAAGACATGGCTGGCTGGGGAATTCTGGGAGTTGAAATCCACCCGTCTTCAAGCTGCCAAGGTTGAGAAACACTGGGCTAGCCTCTCCATGCATCTGATAAAGTGAGCTACAGCTCACAAAGCTTATGCCTTTTAATAAAACGTGTTAGTCAGAAACGGTGTTACTGCACTCCTGATCTTTTGCCACTTTATTTTGCCTGTCCCTAAGAGCAGCAAAAAGAAGTTGACTACCCACAATGGGTGCCCAGCTGATAAGAAGGAACCCAAAAAATGAGGGTCATTTTTCTGAGCCTTCCCCCTTACTGAACGGAAGCAGGAACCTGTGCAGAGAAACGAGGGGGAGCCTCCTCTGCCCCTACGTAATTCTCTATTCATCTCTACCCAAAGGAGGCAAAACCTGCAAGGGCTGGCCTCCAATAGTTCAAGGAAAGGCCTTCACTATTTAATTAAAATGTTTAGCAACACAACAGCAAACCTCATGGCACACAGCTTAGGAATATCTGCTTTGGAAATGAAAATAACCAGCCAGCAATCTGGCATCTTATCAGCAAATGTGTCTTTCCCTCATTTTGAGGGCAGGCCAGAAGTATGTGCTCTCCCTCCGCTGTCTTGGCAAGCAGCTTCCAACACCACAAAGGCCAGAAGCTGAAGTGCTTCTACCAGCTCCCTTGGCACACGCAGAGCCTAGGGTTTCCTGCCCACTCAGTCCCACCTGGGCTCCAATGTCATCCATCACCTGACCCAAGGAGGAAGCTGGATCTGGCTCAGGCATCCCCAAGGCATGGCAGATACGGTGGAGCTCTTGCACCGCTTCGCTATTTTTGTTGGCTTCCTTTGCTGACGGGGGCTTTTTCCAGGCCTGGAGCCGGGCTGCGAGGAGCTCTGAGCTCAAGAAATCTAGGATGGGGGCAGGGAAGGGAGAGATGGAGAAAACGATGAACATTTCTGGGTTTCTTAGTAAATATGTGTTCCACAAATCCCCCATCCATGAGTGGCTCTGAGGGATCAGCCCTGCCTCATAAAGATTAATTTTAAAATACTGCTAATGGAAAAAAAATCACACGTTGCTTTTGCTCTTCATTTTCAAATTTTCCTGGTGGCTAAAAAGAGAATCCAAAGGCATTCATCCAATGCCCCAAAGACATAACAGCAGGGGCATGTTGTGAGCCCCTCAGCTGATGGCACAACAGAGGTGCATCCTGTCTCTAACGGAGGCCAGTCATGTGCTTCTGGCAAGCACACCCCACTCTGTGTCGTCAGCACCTGGCGTTCAGAGTAGCACTAAGTCAGGAGCTCTGTTCTCTCCCAGCTGGTGACAGCTTTCTCCTTAAGTATTGAATTAAGCAAGAAGAGTACAGCTAAAAGAGAGACTGAATTAAAACCATCCCCTTTGGAAAACCCGAGGCTGTCTGCCACCACAGGCAAAGATACCAAAGCACAGGTATTGGTTTCCATTCCCAAAAATGGGAACCCTGGAGATCCCAGTCGTAATGCCTTGGTATATCAAACTGCCCAGTAACTTGGCAATTATAAGTCAGCCATTCCAGATAGTGCACATATAGAGTAAGGGCAGGAGATTCACAGGATGAACACACCTGCTGTGACTTCTAAGCCTTGGTTTACAGCTTACCGCCTTGCCTGAATTGAGCCCCTTGTGGTTGATTTCACAAACCATGGCTAAGCCAACTACGCCTTTGAGTGATGCACCAGTTCTGTAATTCTCTCTCTACTTACACAGAAGCTGGAGGCAGTTGTCTTGGGTGCTGAGTCTAGCCAATACGTCCCCCGTGGTCAGTGAAGGATACGGGCAATGCAACTCACTGAGTAGGCCACTTATTTCAATCTGAAAGGTCTCGGCATCCTCAGGTCCTGATAGGATGAAATGGCTTGGAGAGTTTTTTGATATGAGAATTCCCTCCCTCCCTCCCAAAAAAAGTTCCCATTGCCTCCCCTTTAGCCTCTGCACGTTCTTAACTTTCCTAGGTTGCTCATCTGTAGCTCCTCATCCTTCCTTTCCTTTCCACACCCTTTGTATTCTCAGTTCTTTTGCATGATGTAGGTGATATAAGGCAGTTACATTTCTCCTGAGTGCTCCGTAGCCTTGATAGGCAGTCCAAAGTTCCATCTCTGCAAAGCCACAGGCCCAGACTCCTGAAGGCTGAACCCACCCTTCCCTTCTGCAAAGCCAAAGGGCCTACCCTGCGTGGGGCTGACATCCTCCTCTAGCTGACAAAGAGTTCGGAGCTCTGAAACCAGCCATGAGCAGAGGGTCATGAATCGAGGGCTGGAGACCCCGGCTTCAGCCACCTGGGCAAAGGTCTTCATTGATGGAAATCTGCAAAGTAAATAAATAAAATTAATTGGGGGGGGGGAGTTTAAAAGGAAATGCTGCTTTGAATAAGCAGCCTGAACCAATGCATTCCTCATCAACCCTATTCTGTTCTCACATATTTCAGTGAAAAATGCAGGTTTTCAGAGCAGGGTGACATTCCCAGGCATCTGGACCATTAAGCATTGCAACAGAAGAGAATATCTGTAGCAAAGGGTTGAACTGTAGAGTTCATCAGTATGCTGATGATACCCAATAATATCTTCCAACTCCAGGCCGGCCAAGTGAGGCTGTCGAGTTTCTATCCCAGTGCCTGGAGACTGTGTGGGTCTGGGTAGGGAGGAACTGGCTCCAACTCAATCCTACCAAGACTGAGCGGCTGTGGGCGATTGGACTGCCCAGATCCAGGGATATTCCAACTCTGACTTTGGATGGGGTGGCACTTCCCACTGAAGGGTGGTATGCAACTTGGGGGTCTTCCTGGACTCACAGCTCCTGCCTGATGAGCAGTTGGCAGCTGTGGCCAGAAGACCTTTGCCCAGCTTCGTCTGGTGCACCAGTTGGGTCCCTTCCGAGATTGGGGGGACCCTTCAGAGGCTCACGCCCTGGCCACCTCATGGCCTGACTACTGCAACATGCTCTATGTGGAGCGGCCCTTGAAGACCGCCCGGAAGCTTCAACTAGTCCAGAATCCAGCGGCACAGGCAGTGACGGGCATTCCTCCGTATGCCCGCGTAAGACCTCGGCTTTGTGAGCTGCACCGGTTGCCGGCTTGCTTCTGGGTGTGATTCAAGGTACCTATAAAGCTCTACGTGGCAGAGGGCCGAGTTACTGGTGGGACTGCCTGTCTCCCATAGCCCAGAGTCACTAAGCATCAGACGGCGTATAAATTTAATATATTATTATTATTATTATTATTATTATTATTATTGGTGCCGGGCAGCAAACCCCGCCCTCCCTCGCAGTGACGACGTTACCGAGTTGGGGAATGAAACAAACCGCCCAGCTCAGAGACCACTAAGGGCTCCACCGCTGAGCACCGGTCTGCGAGGGCGACTGGTCCAGAGGCTTCTGCGGCCCGCAGGGGGCTGACCCCCGGGCCTTCTCGGGGAGAGCCCAAGAGATCCACCGCCGCCCCCCCTGCCCGTACGGATCGAGATGGAGGGGTCGCTCCTTCTGCAAACTTCC